CGAGCTTCCCTGAAGCCCCGTGCTTCCCTGAAGCCCCGTGCTGACCGAACCTGACATCCAAGTGGTTTTCAAAGGCAGCCCCTGTAGATCAAACAGGTAATGATGACTGCATGAGCTACTGTTGTGAAGTAGAATTTAGAAGCTAGCAGCTAGTGCTACCAAACAAAAGCTCTTGGGTGCCCCCAAACACATCTTTTGTGGCTCTTGGAACCTCTTCTAAGCATAATAGTTGAAAATCAATAATAGCGTACAACACCTATGAGCATGTTTTCTCAGAACTTCACCCACAGGCTCCACACAAGCTCTCATCCATGCATCTGTACTTACAAACAGTCCCAGTTAAATCCATACCCAGACTGTGTTGACACATTGCAATAAATTTAACTATTGCTTATTCAATAAACCACACTTGGGTGGATTTTTGCAACATACTAAGCTACAAACCATAATTTACAAGTCATGAGGCAGGGTTTACATAACATTACCTGCAAACCAAACACATCATGTTGTGCCCTAATGCAGTGTTAGCACCTATGTTCATATTCTTTGTCCAAGTATAAACACACATGCACACACACACACACACACTTTACTGGGGTCCTTCTTCCTTCCCAAAGTTTCCTGTCAGGAGGCTCCTCCTCTCCTCCAGGAAAATCAGCTGGGAACAAACTGGTTTTGCAGGCAGTGGCAGCAAAAATTGTGTGATTTATCTTCCTTATTATGAGGAGTGAGCCCTAAGGCTTTGCTTGCACTCCCATTGTCTGGGGAGCATAAATGAAGTGGGTGGTAGGCATATTTGCCATTAAAGATATGGTACTGCTGATCCCTATCCCAATATATGTAAGGTAAATTCCAATTTGTTATCTTGGCTTATTTCCTGAACTTAATTAGTTTGCAAATGGGTGCACACATATAACCTTAGCAAGTATGGTAACAGGACAATTAGGTTGCAAAATAGTACTGAGTTCATCTATGAAATTACACAATCTCTAAGAGGATAAAAAAACAAAAAAAATGCCACTACTGTACTAACCTATGCACCACATTTCATTTGGTCCCACCTCAGTTTGTGGCCCTCTTAATTAGAAAATCTGAGATAAAAGTTGGCTATTACTTCCTCAATATAACTGCTGAGTAGGAGTAATTGTGTAATGCGTACGTATGCGTGGACGCACACACACACACACTCACCTATTTCCTTTCTCTGTAGGCAACCTTTTGCAAAGTGCCAAAAAGGCATAAAGTAACCCAAGTAAATTTAGAAACATGAGATAAAAAAGGAAAAACATATATAGCTAAAACTAGCTGATACCTGCATCATTAACAATAACCCTCCATGTATTTTTATCCTTGCAAATCATTCCTGCTTTCACCATATTCATACATTCTTTCCTATATTACCTTTTGTTCTTTAAACTTCTGACCTCTTGAGGATCTCAAAGATCTCAGCCATAACTGTCTCAGTCTTCCCTCCCAAACCATTCTCTTTATGTATTTATTCTGCAGTTCAATCCCCATTCATTCTCCGTATATGACCAAACTAGACCACCATACTTCATTTAACAGTCACTCACTCTTGTATTCAATCCACATTGATTTACCCCCCGATCCTTGATCTTACTATTTTTTATTTACTGCACATACTTCTGAAGTACCCCATTCCTATGCATTCAACTTACTTTTATGGTTTTCCAGACATATGCAACTCTCGGTTCCCTATAACAAAGCAGATAGAAGTAGACAAAAAAACAAAAATCTGGTCTGCACACCCCTGCATAAAACCATACTGCTCTTCTTAAATTTTGCTCATTGTGACCTCTCATAACCTTTCTTTCAAAATTCTCCAAAACCTCCCAGGCATGCTTAGCAAACGAATCCCCTATAGCTTCTGCATTCAGTCTTGCTACCTTTCTCTTGGTAGTCATATCCAATGTCAAAGTACTTTATTTTGCTCATTGACCAGCTTTATCTAACATAAATCATGGGATACAAAAAGATAAAAAATAAAATAACATAAATAAAACAAAATGCAATACAAGATAAATTGAACATTGATTATATGCCATCAAGTCATTTTTGACTCCTAGCAACCATGTAGATATTCTCCAAGACAATCTATCCCTAACCTGTTCTTTCATGTCTCCCAATGGTGCACTCATCACCTCTGTAACTGAGTCCATCCACCTTGCTGCTGGTCGTCCTCTTCTTCTTCTTTCCTTCGACCTCTCCCAGTATTAGAGCCTTTTCCAGAGAGTTGGGTCTTTGCATAATGTGTCTGAAATAGGATAATTCGAGCCTGGTCATTTATGCCTCAAGTGAGCACTTGTTGATTTGTTCAATGATCCATTGGTTTGTTTTCTTGGCTGTCTACAATATTCTCAGGGGTCTTTTCTAACACCAAAGTTCAAAAGCATTAATATTCTTCCTATAATGCTTCTTTAAAATTCAACTTTTGCTTCCATAGAGGGTTCACAGGGAATACCATGGCTTGCACCATTCTGATCTTTGTAGGTACAGACACATCACAGCAATTGAGTATCTTTCCCAAGGCCTTTAATCCCTACTCTGCCGAGTGCTAGCCTGTGGCGTATTTCTAGACTGCTTGTTCCTTTACTGTTGATGGTTGGTCCTAAAAGGCAGAAGCTACCCACCACTTTGATATCTTCATTGTCAAGTCTAAGGTTGGTTGTTCTACCTATTGTCATTAATTTGGTCTTCTTTACATTTAATTTTAGTCCCATTTCTTCCCTGTGCTCTTTGACTTTTACTACTAGGGCTTGCAGATCCTTTGCATTTTTGGCTATCAGGGTAGTGTTTATCAGCATAGTGCAACTTATTGATGTTTCTTCCTTCAATTTTAAAACCAAACTTATGTTCTTCCAATCCAGCTTCCCTTAATATATATTCCACATATAGGTTGAATAAATAAGGGGAGAGTACGCAACCTTGTTGCACTCCTTTGCCAACCTGGAGCCAGTCTGTTTCACCATGTTCTGCCTATACTGTGGCTTCCTGACCTGAATATAAGTTTCTCATGAGGACAATGAGATGTACTGGCATTCCCATTTTTCTGAGCACATTCCACAACTTGACATGATTAACACAATCAAAGGTTTTTCTATAACTGATGAAGCACATACTGACTTTTTGGTATTGTTTGGCTTTTTTAATTATCCAGGGTGCATTGGTAATAATGTCTCATGTTCCTTGGTCTTTTCTAAACCAGCTTGAACATCTGGCATCTCTTTTTCCATGTAGAGCTCTAATCTGCATTGGAGGATTCTAAGCATTATTTTGCTAGCATGTGAAATTAAGGATATTGTACAATAGTTTGCACACTTGGTTAAGTCTCCTTTTTTCGATATTGGAATGTGGATTGACCTTTTCCAATCGGTTAGCTGCTGTGTCATTCTTCAGATTTGCTGGCATAGCTTGGTTAGAACCTTGACTGATTTTGTTCTGTCACTTGCCATATTTCAGCCAGTATTCCATCAGTTACTGTAGCTTTCCGACTTGGAAATGACTGGAGTGTTGATCTAACTTCATCTTCTAGTACTAGAAGTTCTTGTAAGCAAGGAATATCTTCTAAGGTATCTTGAATGTTGACATCTGTACTGTATAGTGTTTCAGTTATTCTCCTTCCATTAATCTCCTTTAAATCTGTCCACTGGCATCCTTTAGCATACCAATTTGAGATTGGAACCTCCTGAGTTCAGAGATCTTTTGAAAAACTTTTGTTTCTCCATGTTCATTTCCATCTTCAAAGTCTTTACAGATGTTGTTGTAATACTGCTTCCTATCCTTTCTAACAGCTCTCTGAAACTCTTTTGTTAAATTCCTTTCTGAGATTTTTCTCTTTCTTGGCTTTAGCTCCTCTTATTTTCTTAGCAATTTCCAGTTTGTTCTGACATCCAGTTTGCTTCCTTCTCTTTCTTCATTTTTGGCAGTCTCTTTTTACACTCATCCTTAATTACTTCTTTAAGTTCTTTCCAGAATTCTTCTGGTTCTCTGTCAATGAAGTTCAGGACTTCAAAGTGATTCCTGATGTTCTTCTTGAAAATGATGGGTATACATTCAAGATCATATTGTGGAAACTGACTGGCTTTCTTCTTCTTCTTTAGCATAACTTGGAGCTTGCACATGAGCAGTTCAGAATCTGTTCCACAGTCAGCACCTGGCTATGTCTTTGATGCTGTATTTGAGCTCCTCCACCTCCTTTTAGCAATAATATAGTCAACGTGGTTTCTATATACTCCATCTGGTGATATCCATGTATAGAGGCATTGTTTTGGTTGTTTGAAGACAGCGTTGACTATGAAGAAATTGGCAGAAATTGATAAGTTGGTCTCCTGCTCCATTTCAGTTTCCTAAGCCATACAATCCAACTACGTTTTCCTCTTTCATGTTTCCAGCTTTGGCATTCCAGTCACCAATCACAAACAGCACATCTTGCTTGCATGTTCTGTCAATTTCGAATTGAGACTGATCACAGAAGTCATCAACCTCCTCCTCTTCTGCATCGGTGTATGGAGCATGGACTTGAATGATCATCATATTGAAGGGTTGTCCACAAAGTCTAATTGATATTATTTGGTCATTGATTGTACTGTAGCCAAGTATTGTTCTTGCTATTAACTATAACTATAAAAGCAACACCATTTCTTCTTTGTTTTTCATGAACATAGCTTGCCCACATGAAACTTTCTTAATTCAAGTAAACCATTTTGAATACTGAGACTATTAACACTAAGCATGCAGTGAAAAGACCATATAGTCAATTGTGGAGATCCTAAATCCAGCCAAATAGGAATACTGAGCTAGAAAATCTGCTGTAGCACCATTAATAGGTATGTTTGCAGCCTTGAGTTGACCCCCCTGAAAAGGTGGGATAAAAACATAATAATGATACAAATCGAGCATGTCAAATGTTTGGGCCAAAACAAGACAGCACAATTCCCTGTTTTGTCCTTAAACTGTCAGGAAAGAAGTGGTATTACTTCATTATCACAGGGGGAAAAACAGTGAAACTTAGTATAGAGCAAACTATAATCCCTCCCTTGTCTTGAATTAAAAGTCTTCAA